TGGTGTAAATAGATGATGATGTCGACGATGATCCGTCGTCGTTGGGAAGAGATGGTGGTGATCCTCGGTTTTTGGGATTAATTCCCTAAATACAGATAAAACTAAAACAAATTCCTAAACTACCACACTTGTAAAAAAATTTCCCAAAATACCTAAGTTTGGAGTGGTTCGAGTTTGAGGAACTCGAACTACTAACCGGTTCGAGTGTAGGATACTCGATCTAGTCGTAGATCGATGATATAAGCCTCGAACCATGTGGAGCTGAAGTGGTTCGAGTTCAGTGAACTCGAACCACTCCTTTGAAATTTCCAACAATCTTAACTTTGTGCTCGGTTATCCGATCGTAGCAAACTTTTTTTTCATTTCGCATAACTTTTCGAGGACTACAACTTTTATAATAGAATATTTTCAGAATATATGTGAAAATGTGAAAAATAAAGTTAAATTTACTCCCAAACCACCTTATATTAAAAATTGTTCCTATTTTGAAAATTTATTCCTAGTAAATGTTGTATAATTTTGTGCTCCGCAATCCGAACGTCGCAAAGTTTTTCTCTTGTTTTGCATAATTTTCTTAGTACTACAAGATTTACTAGGAATAAATTTTCAAAATAGGAATAGTTTTTAATATAAGGTGGTTTGGGAGTAAATTTAACTTTATTTTTCACATTTTCACATATATTCTGAAAATATTTCTATTATAAAAGTTGTATTCCTCGAAAAGTTATGCGAAATGAAAAAAAAGTTTGCTACGATCGGATAACCGAGCACAAAGTTAAGGTTGTTGGAAATTTCAAAGGAGTGGTTCGAGTTCACTGAACTCGAACCACTTCAGCTCCACATGGTTCGAGGTTTACATCATCGATCTACGACTAGATCGAGTCTCCTACACTCGAACCGGTTAGTAGTTCGAGTTCCTCAAACTCGAACCACTCCAAACTTAGGTATTTTGGGAAAAAAATTTATAAGTGTGGTAGTTTAGGAATTTGTTTTAGTTTTATCAGTATTTAGGGAATTAATCCCGGTTTTTGGGTCTCGCCAGCTGGATCTGCGGAGAAGGAAGAAAAGCGGTTGATGGATTTGAAAAGCGAGGAGGCCCGCTCCAGTGCCCGCGCGGTGGTCGAGTGAGATGACGGTCCGTCGACGACGTCGTTGCAGATCCTGCATCCATCAATTCAAACACAGAGAAAAACAGAGCAGGAGCAAGAAACAAACCTAACAGTTTACCGTAAACAAATAGTCAAGAAATTCAGAAAAACGAAGAGAGCAATCAGCAAAACAGGAGGTTAGAGCAAGCAATCGCAAATCGAAATCAAAATCAAAATAGAGGAAGTTCCGGCGAGTCTTGCATTGACGGTTTGGGAAACCTAGAGCGGAAATGCTCACTTTAATCGAAGAACCCTGAACGGAACCGCTCCCCAAATAAAAAAAGCCAGAACAGAGCGATGGTGATGCATAGAGATGGCAATTTTGCCCATATCCATGGGTATTTTACTATCCAACCTAATTGGGTTGGGTATGAAATCCAAATATATGGATATGGGTAAAGTTTGATGAGTTTGTACCCATACCCATTTACTTTGGGTTGGGTTGGGTTTATAACAAATGGATTTGGGTTTGTACCCATGCCCAAATACAAATTACAGTTTGGTACCTAAACTTAATAGATATGCATATTTAGTACCTAAATTTAATTTTTTTTGCATATAAGTCCTCAAAATATCGATGGAAAATTACGTTTTGGCACCTAAATTTTTTTTGTCTTACATTTTGGTACCTAAAATTTTCAAGTTTTACAAATAAGTCCAATTTTTGCATGTGTAGTTAAAACACCCTCAAGTAAATGGATATCCATATCCAACCCATACCCATTTAGATAATATCCATATCTAACCCAAACCCATATACAAACCCCAAACCCATACACACATCACCCAAACCCTACCCATAATAAATGGGTCTACTTGGGTTTGGGCAAAATTACCCATGGGTGGGTAAATTGCCATCCCTAGTGATGCATGTTCATCCTTTTTTATCCGTCGTCGTATTGAATCGTAGATGAGTACAAATGTGGTCGTCGGAGTTGGAGATTGGGCCGGAGTGGATGGAAGTTGTGTAATTGGCGGTGGTATTTTCATTAATAAATTTTTTTTTCTTGATTATGCTCGTCTGTAGTTTTTTTTTCCCCCTCATGGGATGCCGTTTCTAGTATCATCATCATCTGATTTCATTATTAATACGAATTATGTTAATTTTTAACGATTAAAGTCATGGTTATCAATTATGTTATACTTAATTTGTAACATTATTTTTCTTGATTCTATGCGTATGTAGTTCTTAACCATATGACGAGCACAAAGAACACGATGCATAGACCTGTTCCTCTGAGGCAGACAAGCAGGAAGAAGCAGGCAAAAGGAGATAAATTATTAAAAATATTAACGATTATGTACATATTCGTAACAATTTTGGTGTCATTATCTATGATTGTGAATCAATTTTAGTGTTCATCTACCATTACCAATTAATAATATCATTATCAACTCGGATGCAAGATATTATCAATGATATACAAAATTATTATTATTGATTTGAAGGTAATTATCAATAATAATAAGAATCATTATTAACTTTTTCACATCTTCAAGTCAAGTTTATTAACGTATTGAGAAAGCATATTATCGATTTTGTTACTGTTATCTACGCTTATGAAGGAATTATCAATGTTATGCACCATCATTATTCATGTTTTAAAAATTATTATCAATTTTTAATATGAAGTTAGTAAGGTTTGGAATAGGATTGTCAATGATTTACCGTACCAATATCAATTAATAATTATTAACAAATAATTATATTTTACATTAATGATTACTAATGTCACTCCGAGGTATTATCAACGTTTATGGACCAACTTTTATCTATTTATTGTATCGTTATCAACGTTTATGCATAATACTATTAACGATATAAAATATCGTTATCAACTTGGATGCAAGATATTATCAATTTTATGCAAAATTATTGTGATCTGAAGGTAATTATTATCAATAATAGCAATAATCATTATCAACATTTTTGCATTTGAAAGTCAAGTTTATACGTATTGAGAAAATATATTATCGATTTTGTTACCGTTATCTATGCTTATGAAGGAATTATCGATGTTATGCACCATCATTAATATTCATGTTTTAAAAAATTATTATCAATGTTTTATATGACGTTAAAGTTTTGAATAGGATTGTCAATGATTTACCATATCACTGTCTAGGAATAAGTATATTATCAAATCATTGTATTTTACATTGACTGGTAACGTCACCCCAAGGTATTATCAACGTTTTTGGATCAAGTTTAATCAATTTTATTATATCATTATCATTATTATTGTTAACGCATAGTATTATTAACGATAACATTATTATTGTTTTCAAAAATAACATTCTATATTTTATGATATCATTACTAATAAATTTTCTGTCATTTTTAATGATTATTAACCTTGTGAAAACTCAGCCGACGAGTTTGAAGCATGAGTGAGACGACTTTCCATGGCGATGGAGAGTGCGGTGGCAGCCTGCCAGGGGCAAGATTACAGTGAGACGACACCAAATTGATGGAAAAGATGAAGAAAAACTAGTGGCTGGCTTGGGTTCGGGACTGCGACTGAGTTGGATTCGGACGGCGGCTGTTGCGCTGAAGTTCTCGTTGATCTCAGAGGGATGGTGGAGGTTCGTATGGCCTATGGCGGGATGGCGTTGTTGCCGTAGCGTTCTTTCTCAGCGGCGGCGTCTCCTGGAATATTTCGCGAGGAGAGAGAGGGTTGAGCGGTTGCCGCCTACCGGGGAGGAATCGATGTTGGTCACTTTTGGAAGGGGGTTACAGTGAAAATGAATTAGGCCTTTAATTCTTATTTTTCTATTAACTATTAATATTAATTATATTTCCATAATACTCAATTTACCCTTAACAACTAATTAACTACTAATCTTTCTTTAATTAACTAAATTCCTATCAACCAATAGGAGTGCTTTAAGCATATGCTCAAACTTATTGGCTTAAGCACAGGATCTGACAACAGTCTGCAACCTTCCTCTCAACTCAGCAACAAAAGAAAGACACCAAGCAGCAGCAAATTGAACTCGACAGCAACAGCAAAATCAACTCAACATCAACACACAATGACCCAGACAACATCAGACCTGCAAAGAGTCATTATCTCAACAAAATAAACCCTTCTCACACCAACAAAATGAATTCCACAGTAGCAGCAAAATGAATTCCATAGTTCTTTAGTTTTAGCTGTTAAAACACCATAAACTGAATAGCAACTCAAAGCCATTCTTCTCAACCACTCACCACTAAAGCAACATCCTGCTCCTAGAAGTTAGTCCACATCCTCTAGGTTGTATGTCTTGTTCCTTATAGCATTGTCTACATTAGGAACACACAAGTGATGTAATTGTTAGTAGCACTAATATAAGAAAAGCTAATATAAGAAAATGAAGGAAGCGTAATTGCGAAAACCTTCCAGAATTGCACATTCACTTAGTGCCTCAACTTGAACCATGCGAGTTTCACCCAATGAAGAGAAGCAACCCTCTAGATTCCTAGACTTTCCTCTACTTAAAAAAATAAACAGCATGCAACAAAGAATTAAATGAATAGCAATTCTTCCTTTATTCTCATCAATTACCTTCTCAATTTTCTTCCTTTCATTCTCATAAACACAGAAGATCTCTTTTTTCATAGTGTTCATACTAGGACACTAAACATGGGTTGAAGTGAGCACACAAAGCTATTGAAATAGAGATGATCAACCATCGAGAGAGGGTATTCATGCATTATGATAGCTACAACAAGTTCATTCTTAGAAGTACTAGCATCAAAAGCAGAAGCAAGCAAATCCTTTCTTCCTTTAACCATATAGTTAGGCCCCAAAATCTTTTGACTGCCTTCATGAATCTTCCTACGGAGACAACTAGATGTATGATTTTTCAAATGAGAGGTGTCATTACTAGAATCCCCTCCTGATAGTTTTCCACAATAGTTGCACTTAGCCTTCCACGGATTATTGACCTTAATCTTTTTGAAATGTTTCCGAACCAGACTCTTAAGCTTGGCCACATCAATTACCTCCTCATCAATAACAAGAGGGACATGAGGAGGTTGTGGAGCTGCTTCTCCATTTTGAGGTTGAACATCAGTTGCCACCTCTCCAACATGATTTCCATTCACAATTGCAGGTGCGATGGGTTGTTGGGGGACCTTGGTTTTGCGGTGGTACATCATACATTGCAGCTGCTTCTCACAGTATCTCACTGCACACATGGCATACGGACATGAGCATAGAATAAGATAACTACCAGTACTAAATTGCAAATGAAAGAAAACCACGCCAACTATATAATTACAAAACCACATAAACAAGATTTGAAATTGGAAAATAAACCCACATCGAGTCCTCTCTGCTACTGCTGAATCGACTTCTCACAATTACAGAACCACGTCCCCTATATAATTACAGATACCTCTATCACCCACTGCATACATGACACACAGACACAAAGCATGTATTAAGATAACTAGCATATTTCATTTACAAAAAAAAAAAAAAAGAAACCCAACGTGGATGAACATGAACTTAATTACAAAACCAAATCCAAAAACATGATTTGAAAATGAGAAAAGAAACCCACCGGGTCACCACGAGGTCTCTCTACTAATGTTGAATTTAGTCTTCATTCACCCACTGCACCTACGAAACACACAGAGCCTCGATTAATTACACAAACCCACCTGAAGTATATAATTACAGAACATCAGAACATCATAAAACTTATTCGCAAAGAAGAAAAGGAAGTAAGAAACCCACCTGGCCACCTCGAGTACTTGCTGGGTGGAAATTTCGATCTGACCCGATTTACCCGACCTGTTTGCCCTGTTTTGGGGCAGGTCAAACCCGCCACATAGGCGGGGCGGGCATGGGTATCTCTCATCGGCCCATCTGCCCTGACTCGCCCCATTCTCGACCCGTTCTTGTCTAAATTACATATAATCTTAATCAAATTACTTAAGATTCTCCTCTTATTACATTATATTTTAGCTATAATAAAGTTGTAAGTAAGTGAAAACCTCAATTTCTTCAATAATTTAACTACATTTTATCATATTATGGTTTCTTTCTTGGCCTTTCAATGAAAAGAACGAATATTATTACATACCCATTGGGTCGACCTGCCCCGACCCGCGCCCCATGATAAATTACCCGACCTACCATGGGGCGGGTATGGGTATCGATATACCCGCCCCGGACCTGCCCCATTGCCATTCCTAGCTGGGTCTCTAAATTTGCTTTGCCAATTACCACTGCTGCTGTTTACTACTGGGAAATTGGGAATGCGAGCCAGAGGATTGAAGCTTGGAGGGAGGCGATGACCAATGAGTGAAAATTGAAGTAGTGAGCAGGTATTTACACCTACTAGTGCTAGGATGGAAGGCATGCGTCGTGACTAGGGTTTAGAGAAATTGGGAAAGATTTCAAGTAGATAATGAAGGAAATCGAAAAATTCGCGGGGGATATATGAACTGATATTGGGATTAAGGCAATTGGGGGATTGATTTGTGCATTTATAAGCCTCCGGATGATCACACGAAGGTGATAATTGGAAAGAAGCATCGTCGATATTGAAGACTCTTTGGGAGATAAGCCCACCGTGGATACCAGATGTTTGGCCATCTCCAGAATGACCTCCACTGCGTTCGACCGCCTCGGTATATACAAACATCTCTGCTTTGGAAATGTTATTGGCATTCAAAAATTTGAGCATGGCATCAACTTCCTCATGAGTGGTTATGAGCAATTCCTCATGCCACAACGACATGCCTTGTGTGTTTGGATATCAATACACCATACGATCAACTCTCCTCGTTCCTCCCGTGCAAGTAACCGTAATACAGATTTGACGTAGCTCTTCAAGATTCGGTCTCGTAGCAAACTTCACGTTCTGAAAATCAGCACCAACGTAACGTACCCCCTTTCTAGTCACTTTCGTGTAACCATTTCACCGTAACCCAAGTGTGAACTTTTAGAATGCCATCTGCAATAAAAAGTAATACAAAAAAATTTACGAAGTAAGGTTAATCACAAAAACTAAAAAAATAAGGAGTATGACAAAAATTTATAATAGAAGAAGGAGTGAAGAGCTGAGGTTTCAGTATCCTCCTTTTATAGGAAAAATGTCTAATAAAAACTGCTAGGAGGGGGGAGGGGGGTTTCAACTGACATGCAAACCCTACGTCTGCAACCCCCTGCATGATGACATGTCGGGTGTTAGGGGGGATGGGGACTGCATACAGACCACCAACCCCCCTAACGATTTGTATGTCGACAACTCAAACCGTGGGACAGGTGGCGGTTTCTCTTGCCAACCTAGAATCACATGGGCTACCAGCGGTTTATTCTAGGTCATCCATGAAACCGCCACCTGCCCCTGCGGTTTTGTCCCTAAAATAAAAACTGTCGCCCTATAATGTGGTTCTTTCAAAAACCGCAGCTCCCTGCATCGGTTTATGTGAAAGGGTGGTATAAATGGAATTATTTCCAAAAGGGTATATATTTGGAATTATTTAGTTATTGGGTGACAATAATGATAAAAATCTGAATGCAACTAACCATTATCTCCTTACTCGAATGGGCTTTGAACGTGCTCTTTGTATGATTGAAGTGAGTTGGCTTTGACAGTTCTGATTGTAGTGTTTTGTGAGTTGATGTATGGTTCAAGTGTCAATGTAACTCTACTATTCAAGTGTTAATGTGCCTTGTTTAGGACTTAAAAAGAAGGCGACTTGTTGTCAAAATAATTATTATAATTATACCAACATAAGAATCATCTTGATATTACTAAGATACTTCTGATTATACAACCAACATAGTTGCTGCCAAAATAGAATTGCGGCCAACATAGATGCTATCAGAATAAAATTGCAGCCAACATGGGTATTGTTAAAATAGAAGTGCAACCTACGTAATTGCAGTCAAATACATATGGAGCTAACATACTCGTTCTTGTCTAGACATCCATTAACTACTACATCTAAGGCACTTACTACTAAGCAACGCACACTACCAACTATTACATATTTGACGGTTGGATTGCAGGAGGTTGAGATACACCAACATGAGGTTGTTCAGTAATCATAGAAGTCTCTCCACCACGTCCTGAATGACCAAAACCCCCTCTTATACCTTGTATAGGTTGACCTAGTCCCTTCTAGAAGCCTACAATAAGAATCAACAATGGAAAGTGAATAGACTATAACGATATCAAAGTAACCAAAGTACATGAATCAAGAGTCTCACCCCCAACATCATGCTTTTGTTAAGGAGGTTTCAGACAGTTTCTCTAGTTGTACCCTTGCTTCCCACAACCCGATGGATTCACGGTGGAATTTTCCAAGATAATTGGCATATGATGGGGTAGGATTTTACTTAAGCAATCAAAGAACACTTTCAATATGGGAGAATGAATGGAGAGTTAATTGTACTACATTTTCACTCATTCCAAAATCCCTAATGCCAATTCCATAAAGAACTACCCGTGTATTTCTTGCTGTAACTTATTTTACAAATTTATATTAAAATTGCTAGCCAACAGAATTAAGGAAGTTCAACATTCCGTTATCAACTGATTCGGGCCTAATTGTACACTTTTTATCCCCACTTTTCTTAGATGTTTGAGGCACTTTTACTCCATGAGGTTCGGTTTTACGCTAGGTTGTGGTTGTTTTTAGTATGTTTCAGATCCTATGAGGTGAAATCAACCCATGGAATGAAAGTTGGACGAAAAGGGCGAAAACTGGTCAAAAGGGAGCAAAAAGTAGCAGTTCACGGTGGAGGCCAGCAGATCATGGTCAGCCAGACCGTGAAGAAGGGGCGCAGACTGTGAAGCGCATGGAGTCCAGAGATTTTTTCATGCCTCGCGGGCATTCAGCAGTTCACGGTCATATGAACATGAAAACCCGCTCCAGACCATGAAGCGCCTATGTGAAACATTGCGATTTTGCTTGACATCATGGTCCAAGGCCAATGTTCAGGGCCGTGAACTTGGATTTTGAAATGTCGTCGATCTGGGTATATAAAGAGGGTTGAGCTGAAAGAGAAGGATGGAGAGAACCTAGTGAGAGAGACTTCTTCTTCTTCAGACTTATAGAGAGAGAAAGTGATGAACAAGAGAAGGAGAAGAAGTTAGGGTTTCATCCAATAGCAAACTTTTGGGAATTTCTTCCTCCAAAGTTTATCTCCACACCACAAGGAAGAAGGCAAACATCCTCAAGATGGTTTTCTCTCTTCTCCTTAGTGTATTCCCTCTACTTAGCATGGAGTAGTCCTTTCTTTCACTTGGGTGTTTGTGAACCCTAGCTACAATTTTTTGAATATTTGTATACATTGAATGACTTGTGTGTGGTTGTGTTTTAATACAAGTTATAAGGTATTTTCATGAAGGTTGAGTTTTGTTTTTGCATTTCCAACTCTTATGCCATTTTGACCTAGGTAGAGGGAAATCCCCTTCTTCCTAAGAGGCTTGTAAAAGTTGGAATTCATTGGCCAAATTGTGTCACCTACTTAGGTTGAATTAGGGAAAACCTCTTAATACGTATTAGCACCTTGGGTAGGTTGTGTTTTGATCGTCCGAACTACGATTCGAGGGAGAAGCCCAAGCACCCCTTAGTCGAATGGCCAAGAGAGTTACCTTGGTAGCTTGATTCTAAATCCCTTGGCCTAGTGACCGAGAGAGTGACGCTTGCTCACTTGTTGCACTTACCTATGGTTTACAACCGCCTTTACCACACCTTTGCATTCGATCCGACAAGTCATGATTGCTAGCTAGGGGGGCAACACCTGGTTGAAGCCTTCTCAATTAGTGTTCAAACCATATACTTTTCCAATCGCTTTAGCTTTAAACCATAGTTTTAACCAAAAACCATTTGCTAGATAATGTTTCAAACAATCAAAGTAGGGGAACATGGACTGACCCGAGTTTGACTTTTAAAACATACGTTCCCTATATTACACCATGTTAAGGTTTATACTTGGGCCTTAATCAGGATTTTCATTGTGATATTCGGG